AGTTGATTGATGAAAGGTTCCTTACATTCCAGCGAAGTCCTTCCGTTACTTACTGACTTACCGCGCGAAGTAATGGATTGAATTCCTGAGCTTCGTACTGAATAGAAAGCGACTTGATTCGTACTGAATAGAAAGCGACTTGATCTACAATGAGAAGCCACACGCTTCATGTTCGACGAGCACCAGTGGATCAGTCAATGCAATCTTTATCAAAAACTTCACCAACGACAGACAGGCACCATTTGACGGCCAAAAAATTTTGATTCTGACTTTCTGAAAATGAAAAAGAAAAGACGGAAGGGAATGGCAAGGGGAATGATCTCGAGAACAGACAGACACTGGCAGATTTCTCTTCAGACAGACACCAGACGTCGGCTTTCTACTTCTTCGGTCCGAACTATTTTGAAAACAGAGCCGGATGCTCTTAATAAAAACAATAAGAGTGGACACGTCTCCAGATCTTTCACTTCAACCTTTCAGACGTTCGATGAAAAGAATAAGCATCATTTTTTCACTTTGATCCATTCCGTTTTTGTTGGACTTCAAACAACTGAACACACAGCCACAGCTTAACTTTTCTTTTTCTTCTACCGTTCTTGCTATTCTTTCATCTACCAACACTTTTTCGGCTACAGTTCATTTCTCGCCATTTCTCATCATCCACCGTTCTTGACATTCTTTCGCGAACCAAAAAAAACGCAGACTACTCCTGAAGCAGCACTTAAACACATAACAAGAATAAACTCCGGCACTGTTGGACTTGCTCTTACATACTCGACTCAAATAATCACCGAACCCAAGGAGAAAAAAATACGATCTTAATCATAAGCAGCGCGCGTGTTTGCTGTTATTGGAAAACCATCGAACTTCCGTGGGAATGATAAAAATTACTACGAAACTAAGCCCTTGCTGAATCATGACGAAAATAGTTACTAAATAAAAACGCACTGGCTAACAAACGTTTCTAAATTTTCAAAAATCACGAATGATCCCAGTCGTCGACTACACAGCTAGGCGAACCCCTGAAAACTTCATACGCCCTGAGATATCGGCTCCCCCCGCGCAGCCAGCTCCTGCTCGATTTCTTTTGAGCTTAGAGAATCGCCATAAGCTCTACCTTGGTTCTCAGGCCTTCCCTGTCAGAAGACCAAAGTCCCTACCTTGCGCTCTGTCTCTGCCTTAAGATTCGGAACGGATGCCGCGCCTCCTCTTCTTAAGAGGTCCCAAGGCTTTCAGTTTCATCGTCTTCCCTCTCCTTTTGTCCTAAATCTAATGCAGACGAAAGAGCTACATAGAAAGAAACTGAAGTAAGCCAACTCATCATAAGGTAGGCCCGACGCATATCCATACACCTTCCGAAGCTGCGCGGATTTCATTCCAGAAATTAGCTCGCGAAGCTTCTTGCGATGGGCTTCCACCGCGTTCACCCGAAGCCTCCTGGCCGTCCAGTAGTCCCTTGCTTTCTCAGTCCTCTAAGGTTAGAACATTCCTAACGAGTGCCAGACGATCAAGCGCATGCGCTACTCTTGAAAGCTTGCCACCTACTCCCTTAGCACATAACAAGAGATCCAACCCCGCAAGAAAACGTACGCGCCATCTCTCCCACCTACCAGCTCCGGGATTACTTGTTTCTGCCAAGATTAAAGCCGAACACGGAAAACGCTGGAAGTAGCGACGCTCACATTCTAACTACTTCCTTAGTAGTGTCGAAGAAAGGCGCTTACTCATAACAGTTCCACTTTTGGTCTTCTGCCTGGTCCTTCCTCCAAAATCCTTGAAGCTCAGCCCGGATGTCTTTGTAGTTCGCGTTGTCCGTCCATCCGAATTAGATGCCAAAAGAGTCCACATATAACCAGAATGCACCTCAACACAAAACCTACCGCGAATGCGTGACAAGAATAAGTCCATAAGTGAAGTATCCGTCCGTCTCCACCGTCCACGTTCCGCCTTTTACTCGTTTGCTCATCTCCTTTTCTCGAAACAGCTCCAACTTGTCCGCCTCCTCATCTACTGATAGGGACCCCAGCTGCAAGCCGCCACCTCCACCGCCAGAACTTGCAGACCCTCCGGCAGCGTTCACCGACTTCATCGCCATCGTTCTTAGAGTATCGACGTGACGTCTCTACTCTATCCAAGAAATCCCTGGTCTGTCACTCGCAGCCATAACTTCTTTGCTCCTCCAAACTCTTCTGCCGCGTCGTCATCGATGAAAGCGACATCCCGATCTGATAAGCAGTCCGAATCTCCGTCAGAGGGCATACCCTCCTCCTCATCTTCCAGCTGTTGCTGATGTTAGAGTCCATTACCAGACGGTCTACGCTTTGCTTGTCTATAAATAGCGACAGCCTGTAGGTGGACCACAGCGCGAGCGAACCTAATACCATAAGCGTACTCCTCATCAGGGTGACAACTTCCAAACGCCTGCGTCTCGTCCTCAGGCGCTTCTCCTGCCTTCTTCTTGTTTTTCTGCTTTCTTTCTACTACTGGAAGATCCGCAATGCTTACGGCTTCGAGACGCGCAACGGCTTCGCCTGCCCTGCCTCTTCCCGCTAGTTCAATGGCTTCCACTTCGGTCAGCACATGATCATGAAAGCGAGCAACAGCCACAAATAAAAGATAAGACACACGCAGAGCACTCTCTACCCCATAAGGAAAAGAACCCAACACCATAAAACGCCTTCGTGGTTTCCGCATCCAGATGCCCAAGAATATCCCCGAGAGGCTCCGGCCTATATCGGTAACTCCACTCCTTTCCCTGTAGCTGAGCGATGTCAATCCGCAGGGGATCAATATCATCAGCATCGAAGCGCATACCCCAGAGCTGATATCCCACAAAAACTACCATTTTGTCCGTTGTGTGATATGGATGGGCTTCAGATTCAAGGACGAAGAAAAAGATCCTAGCAAGTGAATGCATTCAATAGAAACAAACTCAGAAATCCGCAACCGACTCGAAAACCCCTTGAATTGAAGCCATAACGTCGGATCTGTAATATGCAACCACTGCCCAGCAAGGTCCGCTAAATTTTAGAGGAAAGAAGGAGAGGTCCGAAACGTAAAACGCGACAGACTGAAAGCCCTGACCAATAATCCAAAGAGTGAAGTGACCAGATCGGCCCCGTTAAACACACGACGCAAAAGACCACCTGCCCGGCCTTAAAAACGATTGAAGTTATTGGCATACCACGCTCCCGTTTGCTCCAGCGTTACATCCGTAGCCCTCCAGTGTCGCGGCCGTTGAATTTTGACATCCGGGTACTCCTCACTGGTTCCCACTCGCAGCGGCGTCACTCGCTTTCGCCTCTCAGCCGTAGCAGTGCGCATGAGGGTGCGGAACTCTCCTTCCGGAGAAGGGTCGCTGCGCTTCCACCATACCCAATCCTCAACATCCAGCATGCGAAGATTAGAATCCTAAAACCTAACACGACAAGGATAACGCCCCACCCTTTAGAAAATCAAGCGACCACCATAACCATTCCGGCAATCGGCTCATGCGCTCGCTTCTTATCGATAAGCAGCGTCTTCACCTTCAAAGATTAGAGAGAGCGCCTGAACCATGGCCCCACAGCGATGAGACTTGCAGCGCGAAGAAAAAAAGTAGAAACCATAACTGTTCGCTTCTCGCTTCCTCTCCGCCAGCTCCGCTTTCAATTGTTTCTCGTTGTTCGCGATGTACTGCGCAAGCTTTTCATCATCCTCATAACTCTTCAGCTTCTTTTTTGCAAGATTCCGAATACTCCAATACTCTACTTTTCCACTGTCTCGTATGTTCTTCTCGATTTGCTTGATCGCCCCCGGTTAGAGCTTTCAAATTCGAATCCTTCCTATGTTAGTAGCAAGAGACTGTCGACCAAATTCCATCGGCTCAGAAAATGCAAAGCCATAATTCCAGTGCTTCCGCCGCTGTCTGCCGTGGCATCGAAGTATCGGACATTAGCGCGATGGACCCCGATGCCTCCAAGGGGGAAGATCCTTCTCTCGCTAATCGCGACTAATTCGAACTAATTTGAGCTACTTATATCAATCTGGTTAACTTAAGTAGTTCCCCCTTGCAGTTCACGTATATCTGAGGAGTTGGAAGTATACAGTTATGGACTAGAATTCCCTTTCCCGCAAATGTTTCTGCTTCCGCGTGCAGCCGTCAAAATTTGGCGCGTATTTCGTGACTTGTGGGTGACGTATCCGATCTCACGCTCCACGTCCGAAATTAGAAGCATACTAACCCCCAGCCGAAACCTGCTAGACTTAGACCAAAATAAGAAGAGCACTTTTTCGCTCTGATCTCCGCCATAACATGTTCTCTGGCTTCCCTGTCTCGAGAAATTGATCCACGGTCTCCTGTACTTCTGCGTCGTCCGTCCCAAACTCCAGCACGCGCTCAATTATTAGACACGCTACCAGTCTCAC